GTGTGCTCTGTGTTGGCTCTTCCCCTGCCATAGACAGCCGCTATCTAGTGTGGAGATCATGGAAGTTAGGGGCATACCCCTGAAACCTGAATAAGGTCCATGATCTCCACCCCGGACCAGGAAGGTGCCCACCTTCTCCGGGCCCTGACAGGCTCCTGGGAGCTGGTAGACTGCTCCTGGGGAGTGGTGGAGGGCTGGCTGCCAGTGGCTTGCTGGCTCAGATTTTGGGGCCACTGGGTCAGGGGCAGTGACTGCTGGCTCTGGGCTGGCAGACTTGGAGCTGGCACAGGCACTTTGGGCCGGAGTCAACCCCTTTAAGGGCTCTGGTATGGGGGAGGGAGAAGAGTGTTCTTGGTTGAGGCTGGAGTGGCCACCAGGCCACCCTAGGAAGGCTGGAGGCCCCCTATTTTGAAATAAGTGTCTACACAGCACTTATTTCGAATTTGGCTTTCTTCCTCGTGGAATGAGGTTTGCCAAATTCGAAATAAGCGCTCCACTATTTTGAATTAATTTTGAAATAGTGGTTTGGCTGTGTAGATGCTAGGAAAGTTATTTTGAAATAACTTTGCTGTGTAGACATACCCTAAGGGAGGATGGAACCCTAAGACTGAGGAATTTGCCTCCAGAGTCTATTGAATTCCAGTGGGATTTGGGCTCCTTAGAAAGCCCCAGCCTTGGAAATACACACTTGATGTTGATAGGTACACGCAGCAACGCTTGCTCTCCTTTTCTTTCAGAGGCTGGACAGGACTTTGAGTGTGTTCAGCAGAGCCCATGAGGCCACCTTGCTCCCTGAGACGTTGTATAAGCAGTGGGTAAGGAGATATGCAGGAAACCAGACTTGGGCCTTGATCCTGAAATGCTGGCAACTCCCAAACCTGCCACTCCTGTAGGAGCTTTGGATGTGCGGGAATGCCAGATCAGGGCCCCATTACTTAATAAAGGCTGCAGACCTGTTTTGTTGATTAATTTCATTGGCTGTTTCAGCTTCACCTGTTACTGGAGTGTGACCTTTCTGAGAAGGCCACAGAGGTAGCTGCAGCAGCAACTGAACGGTTCCGCCAGTCAGTGGAAATGTGGCAAACAAGACTGCAGGTGCTAATCAAACTGAACAAGTCCGATGTGGCCCGGTGTTTTGAGGAAGCCATGAGACAAGTGAAATCTAAGGTCTGTGACCATTTTAATCTGTTGTGCCATGTTTCGCAACAAAAATCCTCTGGCCTGTGGTTTTATATTTTCTTAAAAGTTTAAAATAAATAGATATGGACTCACCATTCAAAATGCACGTTAGGTTGAGTCTGTGAAGTGCAAACAGAAACATGACTTAGGAATTCAAGGATTTGAACAATGAATTACTAGGCTGTTTGTTGTTCTAGTGGCCAACTGGTATTTCTTGTCTGCCTTGGAGAGGTGCCCATATGCTCTTGCATCCCGGCTTTGCATGGTCAGGTGGCTGCCCCCAAAGTGCTGGGGAGGGAAGGAGGAATGGAGTTTAGGGCTTTGATCAGAAGCAGTGTTCCCTCTATTTTTTTCCACCCGTGTGCAGAATAAATTTTGTTATGTGCACCGAGGCACGTGTGGATGTGCATCACCAGTAAAAACTCATGGTGCCGGCTGTGGGCACTCTGCTAATCAGCTGTGTGGCATCTGAATCTCTCTTGGGTGGATGCCCAAGCCCTCAGCTTACAGGGAACACTGCAAGCTGGTCATTTTCCCCATCCCACATGCTTTCAGTTGAGCTCCAGGAAGGATTATCTGATTCCTTCTTCTGCTGCCTTTGGACTGATCTCTGTTTGGCGGTACAAGAGGACCCACTCCCACCATGGTGTCAAGCAGCTGTTAAGCCAGGCCACGTTTTCCACCTGGGGAGGAGGAAAATTGTGGAGGCGTATGTAACCTCTAGTTGCTCTCTGTGCCTGTAGAGTAGTCATTGGTTCATGACAGCCCCTTTTGATGGGTGATTTTGCACCTGGATGTACAGCATCTAAGTAAGAACATATGTGGCTATTGGCTGGAATTGTTTGTGCAACGTTGTTAAGCTCTCTGGTGACAGTTGCATTTTTCTGCATCTCAAACTGAGGCTTGGCTCCGAGCTTTCACTGCTTCCTTTTCTTGTACAGGACTGTTTGCCTTTATGGGCTCTCTGGGTGGAATGGAGCGAAGCAGCAAACAGCAAGGAAGACACAGAAGCCCTCTACCAGGTATTTGGCTGAGGGATATACGGTTCTTATTACTGTGTGAAATGGACTAGAAAGTAAATAACTGCCATGAGATAACTGGGACAGTAGGTGGGGCTTGCTTAACAAATGTTTTCTACATGCTGCCCTTGTCACAGGCTTTGATGTGAATGTGTAACCCACACCCCTGGGGGTGGGTGTACTGTTGCATCTAGGGTTGTTTAAAATGGGTAATTGTGTAACCAGGTGACCGCTGAAAAACTCAGCAGTTACAGGCAGCAGCAGCCGGCTCCTTGGGAGCCTGTGTGTGCCAGAAGCCAGCTTTTAAGCCATCTCCTGGCACGAACCAGCTCCCGCCTGCTCCCCAGGAGCCTGTGTGTAACAGTGAATGTTAACTGATAAGCCTAGGCTTATTGGTTAACCATTTACACAGTTATATGTTCACATCCCTTGTCGCATCTAATGGCCCTAAGACCACTTACAGAAAGAATAAAGAGTCTGCTCTACAGCAGTAGCTAATAGCCAGCTAGCTTTTCTTGCAATAGAGGCTCATGCATTGAGCTCCAGAGATCCCAGGTTCGATTCCGCCTGCCGGTGTTACAAATGCCATTTTGTTGATATGTTTGGGGAACATTTTTAAAGGGGGAAAAGCACCATTGGTTCTAAGGGTACGTTTATGCAGCCCGTGACCATGAGCTTCCCAGTGTGGGTCGACAAGCTTAAGGTAGTGGCGCTAGTGCTCAAAAAACAGCTGTGTAGACAGCACTTTAAAGCAGGAGAGGTGTGGGCTTCGGAGCCCAAGGCCCAGTTGGAGCCACAACTTCTACACGTCTGTTCCTAGCATGGTAGCACAAGCCAATCTGCCAGCCCGGGCTGGGAGGGTTGCTGTCGCAGCTGTGTAGATGTACTCTGAAGTCTCACTGAAAATCAATTGATTTTGGAGCCTAAATCACTTTTGAATGTGGGTCTGAGGTTCCTAAGTCTTTTTTTTTTTTTTTTTTTTAAATTCACCCCTCTAATATCTTACCAGCTTTCAATTTGTGTCCTATTTTCAACTGTCAGTTTGTCAAACATTCCCATGAACACACGAATACGGTACCAGAAAATTAGGGGAAAACATTTTGGTTCTGATCCCAACAGAGACCCACTGGGTAGCTTTGTCCAAAACATTTCACCTCTCTGCCTCTGTCTCTACTTGTAATGTAAAATACTTGCTGCTTATGGGACCGTTGAGAACTAATTTGTACAGCATTTTGAGAACCTGCAGATGAGAAGTGCTGCGAAGATGCCAAGTATTAATTCTTTAAACTGACTTGAATATTGGAAAGGAAGAAATTTTAGCTCTAATTTGAGCTTTGTGTAGTTGAAAAATACAGAGTCTGATGAATCTACCAATTTTTCAGTGACAGTTCCAATACTTGACATTCAGACTCTCCCAGGAGACAGATATTTGATGCCAGTGTATTCAAAAATGGAGACAAGGAATTGTTTGGTATCGTTCTCTATACTTACTTTGCAATTGTAGCAGAGATCCTGTTGTGTTTTAACTTGCAGAGATCCTTAATTGTCACAACCCCCACTGACTCAATAACCATGAAAGAAAAATACCTTGATTGGGCCTACAGGATTGGTGGTTACAGGAAAGCAAAGAAAGTCTTTACCAGGTGAAAAATACAAGTCTGAAATCTGGCTTTTCTAACGTGGTTGGAGGAGATCTGAAGTCTAAAGTTCTTAATGCTTTTATTTTAGCCTGCATGAAAGTCGCCCCTTTTCAGTCGAGTTCTTCAGGAAAATGATCAAAATAGAAAAGGAACAAGTAAGTGTTATATATCAACGTAATATCATATTTTGTGGGACATGTGTTACAACTTTGGACCAGGAAGAGGTAGTTGTCTGAGTACAATGTAACTATGCTGCAGTCCCCTCCATATTTGTCATCATAAGTGGATCCAGACCATGTAATTTAAAACGGAGTCTCCTGCAGTAATTAGTCTGAACTTCTGAGCTGCATGTAACAATGTAATTAGCATAACATTTTGTTTAAAGTATCTAACAAAGCAGCAGACTGGTTACTTTCTGTATCCCAGCAATGGTCTTTAACTTTTCCTTTCTTAGGAAGCCTGCAAGATGCTTAATCTGAGAGAATACTATGAACGTGCCCTGAGAGAGTTTGGTTCTACAGACTCTGGTATGAGACTTTCTTATTCAGTGCCTTGGGTTCCCATCAGGCTGAGAAACGGGGCGGGGGGGATCTTCCTGCCCTTATCCCTGCTAGGGTGTGAAATCCTGTTTAATTGGTTAAACGTAATGTTTAACTAGTTAACAGATTAAAGGGGTGGTGAGCGGGGGAGGAGAGATGCTCCAGTGGCCCCCCGCCCCGTCCACTGAGGGGCTGTTCTGGCTGGGCTGGAGCGCCCCTGCCCACAATGGGCCTCATGGGGCTAGAGTAGCCCCCTGCCTTCAGCAGGTAACTGACCCATACCCATAGGTTGAGGCTTACCGGTTAACCAGTCCTGTCACTAATTCCTGCTAACCAGCATGGTGCAGGTTGCTGATGCTGTGCTTTCCCTTGGGATGGGGCTCTGCAGTGAGCTTGGCCCACAGCATTTTGAGTCTATTTCTCAGTTCTCAAATTGCGGGTCAGGACCCAATTTTAATGGGGTCACTAGGGCTGGTGTTAGGTTTGCTGGGGCCCAGAGCCAAAGCACAAGCCCCACTGTTAGGGCGTGAAGTCCAAGCCTGAGGACTTCAGCCCATGGTGGCGTTGCTCAGGGGTGTAGCCTCGCACCCTCGCCACTGAGGGCGGAAGCCCTGGGGCTGTGGCTTTGGTGCCTCCACCGGGAATAGTAGGACTTGGGCTTTTGCTCTTGCTCCCTTTTCCCTCATGTACAGGGCCAGGATAGGCTTCAGCTCCCCCTCCTAGGGTCATGCAGTTTATGCTGTCAGCAAGAGTGTGTGGTGCAGTGAAGTTTGAGAACCCCTGGTCCAGGGCCCTGATTCCTGCACATACTCACGTGGGTAGTCCCACCAACGTCGGCAGGGTTACTTGTAGGAGTCAGGGTTTGGGGGTTTGTTGACATTGGCTGGCCTAGGGTGAAACAGCCGTCTGTAACTCGCTAGTTTGTATGAGGTACAAATCAAATGTGTGTAATCATGGTCATTACCAAACATCCTTTGAGGGTAGCATTTTACAGATGGTGTGTGTAGCGTGGTGAAGCATGTCTCTGTCACAGCTGGGAAGACAATGCAGCTCTCTGGACTCCGTGTCTGGGCTATAACCCTTAGGCAAAGCTTCCTCTGTTCAAGGAGAAACACAGTTGGACTTCACTGTGCAGGAAGTCCCATACTAACAAACGGGTTGTGTTCCAAACGTTCGTTTGTTGGAACTTGGAATGCATTTTCCCATAGAAATAATGTTATAAATGGTAATGAGGTTTCTAGGCTAGCCCACAAAATCCTGTTCAACCCATAATGTAAATGTAGCTGCAATACTGGATATTTGCAGAGAAAAATAGTAGAACTAGCTTTTTTATATAACCTTGAATGCTGGTGCCTGAGGAAAGTCTGTTTTAATGAGAGGAGGATGAGGGAGGTGGAGATTCTGAAAGAGACTTCTGGGCATCCTCCACCTGACGCCACCCTCCACTTCTCTCCAGCCACTGACTATGCCACCACCACCCCCTGCTCCTCTGGAGTCCTGCAGCCAGTATTTTTTTTTTAAATGGAGATTGCCTATCTCCTAGAGCTAGAAGGGACCCTTTAAGGTCATTGAGTCCAGTCCCCTGCCTTCACAGCAGGACCAAGTACCATCCCTGACAAACTTTTGCCCCAGATCCCTAAATGGCCTCCTCAAGGATTGAACTCACAACCCTGGGTTTAGTAGGCCAGTGCTCAAACCACTGAGCTATCAGTGTCCCTTGTCCCTGGGTTGCTAGTTGTGCCTCTTGCCTGCTCCCCTGAATCTGTGTGTGTGAGAGAGAGAGAGACAGACAGACATCCCGTATTCAATAATGTGGAGAGATTCCATGTTAGGCCGGGGCACATGTCCCTTACCACAGTCAAATCAGAACATAACCACATGTTTTTTTCTTTAAAAGATCTCTGGCTAGACTACGTCAAAGAGGAGCTAAACCATCCCCAAGGCAAACCAATAAACTGCGGCAACATTCACTGGAGAGCTATGAAGATGCTAGAGGGAGAACTAGTGGAAACATTTGTTTCCAAATACACTTTGCTGCAAACTGGACACTTGTGAAAAATGTTGATTACGTTGAACTTGCAAACATTTCTGACAGACTGTCAGAGCACGGAATTTGCAGGGTTGGTTGTCTAAATTTTTCTACAAGATTCTGAAAATAAATATGTTCCTGACCCAACCTAGTACATATATTATTTTCAAGTATTTTGGAATTTATTTAGCATACCACTGCTACAAGTGTTGCTCTATTTCAGTGGTGAGTTCTTGCAAAAGGGTACAAATCCACAGTTGAAGAGGAGAAACTCGTTACAAAGCAAGTGAAGGCATCTATCAGTGGATTTGTTACTGAGAACTGAGAGCAAATGCTCCCAACGGTCTATGCTATCTGGTGCAGTAAAGAGCTATTATATATCAGCTTTCACACTTATAAAAGTGTATATTACAACTAAAATAGATGCAAAGGATTTTAACTAGAAACTGAAGCTTGGCATCGTGCTTTGGTGATCAAGGTAATTTGGGTATTTGCATGTAGTGAATCTTGCCCCTTTCCAAAATATAATGGACAGCCTTTTCACTTATTTAATTGTAATTGATTGAAATACACCATTTCATTGTATCCACGTAGTTATTTAAATATAAAATGAAAGTCCTCTCTTTCCATAATTTTCTTTTAAAAAGCCATTGTATTGTGTAAACTTTTAGAAACTATTTTCCCCCTTTTTATTTTGCTCTTTATTGCTGACAGAATCCTCTTACTCCTGTGTTTTCTGATGAAGCTGAAATGAAATATAAAATACCGGACAAAGCCTCGTTTACATCCTTATCTGAACTAGTCCCTGTACCAAGGGTGGGGAACCTTTTTCAAGTCTTGGGCCGCTGACCCACAGAAAAATCTGTTGGGGGGCTGCTCACAAATGAGAAGTTTAAAAAAAAAAAAAAAAAAAAAAAACCAAACAAACCTTCACGGATGTGGCCCCCAACTGAGAGAGACAATCCACACATTCCCCTCGCATACCAGAGCCTAGGGGGCCCAGGCTGGTAGATTTTTTGTGCTCCAGCAGCGTGGGGGTCAGCAGGAGCAAGGCCCTCTGGGTTGGATTCAGGCAAGCTGGGGGCCTGCGTTCGTCCCCCAGGACTTAGGTTCTCCAATCCTGCCCTATACTCGAGCTATGGGGGTACTGTTTGCTTGTTAATGGGGGACAGGCAAATTTATATATTTTGAGGATTTCTAGTTTCTTGACAGCAAATACCCCCTTAGCTTTTCTACTTTTAATTTTTTGTTGGGGTTTGTGTAGCTGATTTGGCTTTTATTTTTATTTAAATCAGCTGTTACTCTTCCCCACCTTAAAATGGAAAATGATAAACATTGTTATTACAATCAAAACTCTCATAGGGGGAGCTGATCTGGGTTCTTATGACCCTTTGTCAGTGTGGTAGCTGTGCATTCTCATCTTTATTGATACCTACTTGCCCATAAAAACAGAACTAATGGAACATCCATCTCACAATAGCGAGACTCGCTTGCAAAGTCATGTTTCATGTCAACCGGAGTAAGGAGCGCTGAATTCAAAAAGGGAGATGCAGCATGCCATTTTTGGGTCCGTGAGATTATTCAAGGTCTTTCTTTGAACTGGTGAAGGTAAAGAGCATCCTCAATGAATACCCAGTACACTTTATGTCCATTCTTAAAGTCACTTGGTTTTTAAATTGCCCCATGACAAATCTAATGGTTTAGGCATATGTTTTACATGTTTGGGGGATATGACAAAAGCCCTCTGTACTTTGATGTTTTACTTTTCTTTTCCTGCTCAGAAGCTTGCAAGAGATTGTCAGATTTGAACAAAGGCCTTTGGGGTGTTACTATGGCTATGTCCCAAATCGGTCAGTGCATTTATTGGCTTCTAACCCTAAGTGTGTTTTTCTGTGCCCATTGGAATTTATCAGAATCTCTCTGGGCACTAGATTCAGGCCTCCTGACTGGGGGTTTAACATATCCTAATCTGGGGGTGAGGAGGGACCAGAAGTGATCAAGCTGCAGAGCTAGTAATATTTTGCAAGAGGGGAAACTGCATCCTTCTACAAAGTGGTTGAGACACTTATCCCCCCTTTGTACTTTGAGCCCTGAATCTTTTGTTTCCAGAAGGGCTTTTCTATAGGTTGTAAGGCCGAGAAAGAAGAGTGTGGGTGTGTTTTTATGATGATATTGGATCCTTACAGTGAATGATCCTTACTATGCTTCTGTTCATAGTGCCTGTTGCCCCCCTTTCCTCCCCTCTTACAGTATGAAACCAAAATTTTAAAATGGGACATAAGTCTCATTAAAGAACAGAGACAAACACACAAATTATGTTTCTACTGGAGCAGGGAGCATGCTGGAGATGGATGAGCAACAAACAATTGTTTGAAAAGTTTGGTAAGTATTGGAGACTACTTTGCTTTTGACTTGCTACCTATAATAGATTCACCACCCTGAAAATTATTAACTGCTTGTCGAGAGATATTTCAGAATCTTGTAGACTTACCAATTTTTATTTTAGAAACAGATCTACGGGAAGTTACAATTTAAATTAAAAAGTGAGGAATGGTAAAAGTATCTTGATTGATAATTCCTGGTAGTATTTGGTTCAGGTGTGCTCTTGAAACAAAATTCTTAAGATTGAATTTTTATTTCTCAGCCTTGGATTTTCGTGGTGAGTTACTGTGTTAAGAGTAAATTTTCTTGCATTAAAGTGTTTCTCTCATCCACAAGCCTTGAAATGTCTCCCTAGTTTCTAAAAATCGACATTAGAAGTGCTCTTAAAACAATCAGAAGGATCACAATTAAAACGATCAGAAGGAGTTGGAGGCAGAACAACATTCTGTTTTTTTCTTCCAGTTCATAGACGTAGTTGCTTGAGGCACCACAAAATAAGGCAACAGGATTAATTTTCCTCAACCAGTACTCCATTCTCATCAGCTGCCTGTAAGATAGGAGTCAATTTTTGTGGTACTCTACTAAAATTAGAAACACTTTAGTATAGAAGAAAACCTACAATGAAAGAATCTACAAGTCATCAATCTCATAAGCAAATAACTGTCAACAGTAGCCTGTACAGAACACAGGAAATGCATCCAAATCTTGCTACTTCTTCCTCGATGACATGTCTGAGAGAATCCTTATTGTCTCTGGCCCATGTGCTCAGCCAGGTCCTATTCACCTCCTGCATTGTTTTGTGCATGGGGTGGTTGGATTTTTTGTTTTATAACTACTGCTTCTGTGGCCCTTTTAGCACCCACACTATGCCCAGGCATCCAGTCCATTGAAAATCCACCTGTCTACCATGTCACCTGTTCCGAATCCCTGTACCTCTTTCCTGCTACATCGTTTTATTATTCGTTAAACATTTTAAAAGCCACCACTTTTGAATGTGAAACAAAGGCATCAGAGTTGGGTAGGAACTGTTGCCCTGTGGCTAGAATGCTGGATGGGAATGAGACCTGGGCTTTGTTCCCTCCTCTGCCACTGGCCTGCCGGATAACCTAGGTCAAGTCACTTTACTTCTCAGTACCTTCATTATCCCCATTTTACAGATGGGGAAATACTTACCTCCCGTGTAAAGCATGCTAAGAAAAGCACCATATGCTTTTAAAAAATTGATGGTAAAATTTTTAAAGCCCAATAGCTTAGTGCTTGTTGCCCTAATGCCCTTTTCTGCTTGGCACGCCTTCCCTGATCTAGGTTGTAAAGCCACTTCCCTCTCCTTTGAATCCCTCTTCAAGGTGCACATCTGTCAGGAGTAGGGATGTAAGCGATTAGTTGACTGTCCAATAAGCAACTGCTTATCGGATAGTCGAGTTGTGACTCTACTAGTTGTTCCCCCCTCCTTGCAGCCTCTATCAGAGAGAGGGAGCAGGAGCTGGTGCTCCGTGGGGGGCAGGGGAGGCAGAAGTATAGCCGGGAAACAGTTCAGTCCCTGCTTGTTCCATTCCCATGGTGGGTGCTTCTGCTTTTGAAATGTGCAAGAGCCCTCCGGGGCCCTTGTACATTTCAAAAGCAGAAGTGCCACAAGGTGCATGGGGTGAGCAGGGACTCAAGCAGTTCCTGTTTATCCTGTGTTCTCTGCTCCCTCTTCCTCCTCCCCCCCGGTCTCCATGAGAGGCAGCAAGGGGTGGGACAGGAGCTGGTGCTGTGGGCAGTCAGCTTAAAAGCCAGTTCCCCCTAGCACCATCTGTGGGGTGTCGCCTCCCCTCCCCTCCTGCCACCTTTGTCAGAGACCAGGACTGCTCATTCCCGGCTAGATTTGGCTTCTGGAGCTACCCTGCTGTGGCTCTGCACAGCAGGTGCTTATCGACTAATTGTATAAACGATTAGCCAGATAATCTCATTTTAACAGCCTTAGTCAGGAGCCTTCCAAGTAGTCATGGCCAGAGAAAGGGACAGTAGGATTGAAGTTGTGTGCAGCTGGTACTTTTTAAAACAAGATTGGCTGTTTTTGCTTAGAGAGAGACTAGGATTTTTATCCCATGAGTTCTCTGCTTGTTAGGTATGGCCTTAAACTGGAGCCATTATGCAGAACTGGAATAGTATGGAAACAATAGTGCAAACCAACTTTTAAAATAGGTTGCTTCTGTTAACGTCTGGTGTAGCTTCTGCCGTTCCTGGGGAAAAGGTCTAGAGTTTTCCAGTGTAGACAAGGCCTGTCAGTTGTGTGCCCGCTGGGGCAGGAACTGTGATTGCACAGGGATGACAAATGTTGGTGCTTGGTTGCGAATAACCTCAGTTTCTGTCTGAAAGGTACTTGCCTTTGCCATGAAAGATCAAGACTTCAGTTGCCATGGGATTTTTAAACCAAATTTGATTTGACACAGTAAATTCAACCTTGGCTCCTGAGCAGTGCACAAAATAACATTTAAGACCTACTAGCCCATTCTCCCCCCTCCTCCCCTTTTTGTATTAAGATGGTTACAGTCAGCCCAGGTTAAGGCTGAACAGAGAGACGGCAACTCCTTGCGAATGAAAACAGTCTTTTCCCCAAACCATTGCTCGCTTGGGCATTCATTGTTTTCAGCAAGCAGTAATTGGTCTGCATAGCTGAAACCTGAAACTGAAAATACCACAGCCAGGTCCACTTGGGTTAGCCAACCCAGCTATTTCCTTGTCACACCTTTCTCTTGTACAACACCAACCTTATCCATTAT